CGATAAACGAGAAATTCACCTTCAGTTCGGTAATCAAACCTTCTGACAGTTAGGATCATCTGAAGTTTTCGATTCTCGGAGTGGAGTTCTCACTCCTAGTTTCATCGTTCCGGATTCTGGGGGTGGAAATCCCACCTCGACTCTCCTTTCCAGCTGAAGATAGAATATAAAATTTTTCTTCTTCAGTGTCGGGAGATAGAATATAAAATTCTTCCTCTCCTATTTCGGGTTCGTCTTTGCCCCAAGAGAAGACACCACTTTTTTCAACCCTCAAAATCTGTGCCTCACAGGTACAGGGAATTTTATCCCGAATCCTAAGTAGGGATAAGTCTGCGCCTAACACGCGCCGTCGGTTTAGTCTTTTTCCGTAGAAAAAGACACCAGAGTTCGATTCTGGGGTATTCTATCCTGAAACCTAAGCAAGGAGAAGTCTGCGCTTAACCCGCGCTGCCGGTTAGTTCTTAACCGTTAAAAAAAACACCCGTTCACATATTTAACATTGTGACAGGTTGTTATTAATAACACCAAGTCTTTCACCGATTGAAGAAGACACTAGAATTCCAGTCTAGGAAGTTTATCCCGAATCCTAAGCAGGGATAAGTCTGCGCCTAACACGCGCTGCCGGTTTAGTCTTTCTCCGAAGAAAAAGACACCAGAGTTCGATTCTGGGGAATTTTATCCCGAAGCCTAAGTAGGGATAAGTCAGCGTCTAAAACACGTTGCTGGGTAGCCTATGCCCATAACAATGGCAAAGTCTACGTATTCAAAGTCGTAGCATCAAGTCTAAGGGAGTTTATTCCCTTAGCACAACGTCACATGCGGAACGGATTTAGACAATCCGCATGCTAGCCCGACTCAAACGGTAGTCGGTAAAGGCTAATCAAATCCGTTGAAAGCTGGGGGTTAGGTAAAAATCCTAAAGTCAACGCCTAACACGCGTCGCCGGGTAGTCTGTTCCCGTGAGAAAGACGAAGTCTACGTATTCAATATCGTAGCACTAAGAGCGTTAACTCTATTAGCACAACGTCACATGCGGAACACTAGCCCGACTCAAACGGTAGTCGGTAAAGACTCATCAAATCCGTTGATGGCTGAGGATTTGCCAAAAATTCTATAACTGCGAGTCATTGACGCATCAACTCCACTAGTTGGTCTCGTGTTGAGCATCCTACGACGTTCAAAAACGCGCTAGGGTCAACGCCGGTCAACGCTAACCCTAGGTGCAACGCGGATCAATGCGTTGGCAATGAAAGAACTCCGAAGAGTATACGAGTATAAACTGCTTCTCAAACACTCCGAAGAGTATATGAGTATAAACTGCTCCTCAATCCTCCAACAGTGCATGAGGTTAAACTGCTTCTTAATACTCCAATAAGGTATATGAGTATAAACTATTCCCTATTTTTGGTTGAGAAGTTCCTGGAGAATATTTTTATAACTATTCTTAAGGATAACTCAACAACACTACGCCGGACAACGCGTCGCAAATAAAGACTCAACGCCGACATTCGAGGGTCAGTTTTGTGTTGAACCAACAAATACGAGCTAAAAGTCAAAAATCGAGAATCAACTTCAAATTCAAAATTCCGACAGACGGTCAGACAATAAATGCAGCACCGGAACCTTTACAGACGTTCGACAAAGCACCGAACAGCCTGAAGGGTTGAAGGAATCAAGAATAGAAGCCACTCCAAATATCCCGAAGGATGGGACAATCATCTCCAAAGTATTCCAGACTCTTCTATAAAAGAACGAGGCTAAAATACTTTGGAGGGGGTATCTGTAGGCGTATAAAATTGCTTATAGATCCCTTAGCACAGCTCAGCACAAACCGACGAACCAACGAGGCGACGAGGTTGACGAATCGCACGCAAGCAACGGAATACATCCATTCGCGTGCGGGATCAAGCCAAGTGTTCGAAGAGTCAACGAGTCATCCAACCGAGAGCGGACTCGAACGAATCACGATCGAATCAAGATCGGTTTCGGACTCGAACTCAGAAGTGGATTTACTGCCAAATCAGGATTCGGATCGACTGCCAAATCAGGTCAACAAATCGAGTCCAGATAAGTTAACCGAAAAAACGGATACAACCGAATCAGAGTCTAAATCAACCACACAACCGAATCACGGCGGAACCGAAAAACGGATACAACGACAAAACGACGAAACCCAACACCAAGGGGGGGCTCGGCCGAAACCGAGCCACCTCTAGGTGGCTCGGTGTGTCGGCCACCTGTGCGCGGGCACAGTGAAGGTGGCCTATAAATAGGGGGCTTGGTTCATTTGTTCAAAGGTTGGAATTTTTTGGAGGCGAAGCTCTGCTGGATTCAAGACTCAGATCTAAAAAAGATTGAAGCTTTAGGACTTCGAGGACTTGCTCATCCAGATCTGGTGCTCGGCGATCGTCAACGCCAAATAAGGCAAGAGTTCGAGAGGACCGGATCTCAGATCTACGCAGGCATACTCCGGATCAAAGCTTGGTCTTTGATCCCGAGATTTGGGCGATTGTTTCCTTGGTGAACCAATCCCCCCCGGCTATTATTTTCTTCGTGAAATAATACCCGTCGTACTGCGTAGATCCGACCGGATCTAGATCGCGCGGTGGTCCACGGATAATCCTCGGCGCAGGCAAAGAACCCACAAAAGCGAGTGACCGCAAAACAGGAGCTCGTGATTTGTTCGACACAAAAGGAGAAAGTTGTAATCTTTGTTTATTTTTCTTTGATTTTCATTGTAACCGGATCTAAAAAAGACCGGATCTTTTGTAACCACAAAAAGTTATTATTTTGAGATCACAATGACATCAATGAAGAATACGATTTTCCCCGCGAACAACTGGTGCACGCGAGCTGACTATCATGCGTGTCCGGTCACTTGGAGCTGACTGACGTGCGCGAGCCGACTAACGTGCGCGTTCGGTCACTTGGAACTGACTGACGCGCGCGGGCTGACTGACGAGCGTGTTCGGTCACTTGGAGCTGACCGATGCGCGCAAGCTGACTCACTTGGAGCTGACCGATGCGCGCAAGCTGACTAACGAGCATGACGGCCAATTGGAGGTGGTCGGTGAGCGCACGAGACACAGTTGGTTCGCCATTCCGGTTCATGTACTTGTCAGCGTCAGATAATCCTCTTAGACTCGGATAACGATGTTCGTCATCTTCTCTCCATCTCGAGCTGTGTACGGACACCAAGGTTTTAAATGTCGAATGTCGGGTTCATGTCGGATGACTGAAATCCATGTCGGATAGCGGAAATCGGGGATATATCGGGGGACATTGACTAAATATCGGATTGCCATATCGGGTAGTGCGCATATGTATAATATCATGTCCTAAATATAATCTAAGCATTCATAAATTCAATATAAGCATACTTTATAAATTCTATAGACTAAACATATAAAAAGTACATAATATATGGATTTGGGTTCATAAATTCTTTCTATTGGGTTCATAAGAAACCCTTAAACATAAGAACGGGTCAAACGGGTTTGGGAATTATTACTAAACCCAAACCCGATAACAAAAAACAGACCTTAAAAAAAGTATCATATCGGTCGATTTTTCAAAGCTAAAAAATAGGCCGATATGCCCGATATGACCATCATATTTCCGATTTGGCCCTGAAAACCGACATACGAGTTGAAAACGTTCATGTCGTGTCGGTCAAGCTCTCAAACCGATATGTCGGCCGACATGTCCGACATGTCGGCCGACATTTAAAACCTTGACGGACACTTATAGGTATTTTTAGACGCCTACAATGGCGGGGCGGATTTGCAGCTAGAGGGATTTTGTGATGCAGACTACGTCGGGGATATAGACTCAAGAAAGAGCACTAGCGGCTACATCTTCATCTTGGGTGGTGAGAGATAAGTTGGAGATCCAAGTTACAGGATACAGTGGCTTTGTCGACAACCAAAGCGGAGTACGTATCTGCAGCAGAGGCAGCAAAGGAGTTGCTATGGTTGAAGGCTTTTCTTCTCGAGCTTAGAGTAAGCTTTGAGAAATACTTCATCCACTGCGACAGTCAGAGTGTCATTCACTAGTCAGAATATGACGCATTCCATGCTCGGACCAAACATGTTGACGTGAAACACCATACCATACGGAGATGGCAAAGCAGGAAAGAGTTCAAGTTTGTGAAGATTGATACGAGGTACAATCAGCCGATATGCTGACCAAACCAGTTCCGCTCGAGAAGGTGAGGCTTTGTGCAGCCTCATATGGCCTCCGTTGAAATTGTTGAGGGTCGTGCAATTCGCCAAAGATACAAGACATCCGGATGATGCAACCAAGAAGGGTATGAAGATATGATTGATATTCAATCAAATTTTCAAGTAGGAGATTGTCAGCCTAACAAAATAAAAGTGAGGCCCACAAAGACGGGTCCCACAAGAAGAAAACTCAAATTTGATGGCAGCCATTGTTGAGAATTTATAAAGGATGTGAACCCACAAATATTTTATTATTAGTGGTGGATCCTACTAATAATATATTATTTGTGCATAGTGTTTCCCAAATACTATAAATATGACCTAAACTTTTCAGAAAAATTCATCCCAGAAACAACTCCTCTTATAGAAGAGTAAGATAAAAAAACATATAGAGAGTTTGTGGGAGTTCTTGGAGTGTATCTTGATCAAGAGAGTGTGTTCTCTTTGATCCAATTCTTTTGGAATATAAAAGAAGTGGGAGTCGTCGTTGCACCGTGGAGTAGCTCCGAAGAAGTGAACCACGTATATCTGTGAGTACTGTGATTGATTTTATGCCTTTATTCTATGTATTGTGTCTTTGTTCGAGGCATTCTTATTGGTGTGTATCTTATATCTCCCATGACGAAAATCCCTCTCGCTGCTGAATCCATGTCTTTTTGCGCACAATCGAGCATAACTCATTTCATTTCCGGAGGAGCACCAGGCATTAGGAATGCAGCTATAGATAAATGTGGACTCATAGAAATATGGGCAAATGAAAAAACTTTCTTGGGTTCTTATACTCAATGTTAACTACAAAATTTTCGCAGAGGAGCCCTGCTGCATTCAAGCGATGAATCAGCATAGGCTTGCAAGCCTCAGTCTGCAGGTGCTTGCTGTCGAGGCTCTTGATGGTCTTGTACAAATTAGCAATGTATCCTAATGATGAATTTTTCTGAAGGAGTTTGATGATTGTCCCCATTGGCATTGTTAGAAAACTTTGCAGGATTTCCACAAAATCTTTGTCTGTTTCAGCAAGCAACACTCGAGACTGCTGCTTATCGACAAGATGCTTCAGAGGTACCTTCTTGTCAGTGGCCATGGTGAAAAATACTGAACTTTCTTCTTCTGTATCTTTCACCTGGCTTTTAAACAGAATACTCAAGTAAGGCTTGGCTCATGGCATTTCAGTTTTTGAGATCATTACTTTTTAAACAATGCTCTTTTGGTAAGTACATAACTTATTAATAATGTTTTAGTTTTCAAGAGGTTTGCTCAGGACTCTAAGCCATACTCTTTGTGAAGTCATAAATCACAATGAATGAACAAAAGAATCATTTCCTCTGGATATTTTGACTCTAAAAATATCACTAATTATAAGAAGAAAAACTATATTACCTCCATATGGGTATGTAGTTATTTGGACACACGAAGGGAAAAAGTAAGGATGGCTAAAAACTTACCTTAAATAGCATGCTTTTGTCACCCTTTATATCCTTTACTTTGGAAAAATTAACACTTTATATTACCTCCTATTTTGTGCTAAGAAAAGATTGGAAAATCTAAACCCTTTACATTAACAACAAACTGATTTGACCTAAAACATTATAAAAAACCCAATACAATGCCAAACATAACTATTCTCTTGACTTATTTTAAAGATGACCGATAGGCACGAAAGTGAGAGAGATCTTCCTAAAAGATGATCAATGATGAACCCCACATCAGCACAAAGGTGAGCTGTAAACATAATTTTCAGTTTCATGATTATCTTTTGATGAGGCCCCTATTTCAAAAAAAAAAAGATTAACCTTTTGATCATTTTTTTCCTAACCATGTGCGTTATGATTAAATGATGCAATAACAAAATTTTTTCTTTTTGAACTTTGAAGGGATGAGAAGAGAAGGGATATCCTTCTCCTATTTACACTCTTCTAAGACCAAAGGTTTGATTAGGGAATTGTATATATGAAGGAAGCAAGGAGTTCCAAACTTGTTTAGATCTGGGAAAATGTTAATGAAGATTTTGTATCTATCTATTGTTGGCTTCTCCTTGGTGAGAATTATTACCCACAATTCTTTTGTTATTAACTTAATAGGTTATTCTTGTCATGCCACCAAAATAACAGCGGAAGATAGATACAGAAAACGCGACAGTAGTGGCCCGCGCACAAGATAAGTCTCATGCACGTGTCAAGCCTGACACTTCATGTCTCATAGTTTTTTTTCCAAAATATAAAACTTGTTGATGGTAGAAGTTCAGAGCAAACTATACACATAACTAGTACTCGCAATTAAAAAGCTCACCGTCATAAGTATTTTAGAAAATCCAATACACGACGTTTGGCTATACACAATGTCAAAGAGAGGCTATCCCTATAGCGCCTCTTAGCAAAATTCTCATTCCAAACGCCCGCCTTTGCTCAAAACTTTGCGGCATCTGAAAAAAATTGAAAATGATGAGGTGACCCAAAGCTCAGTAAGAACAATTCCCACTAGAGTTCCTAGATAATCTAACAAAATGATAATTCTCAAAATTAGTGAATTATATGTTTTTGCACCTGAAATTCTGAGATGACAAAATATTGCATACAAGAACATATTATTAGTATTCTCACGAGAGAATGAAATAATTTAAAACTCTTTCTTATATGCAAACTGAATACACTATCATAGGGTCCTGAATCAGACTTTTTGAAATCAAGATAAATAATAAGAAAGAAAACAGACTAGGAAGCTTTTGCAAAACCAAAGATTATTGTTTTCTTAAATTCACAGTCAAAAGTCAGAATCTCAAATTCTCGATGAGTTGTTCATATAGTTGCAAGAATCACCTCATTGGTCACACTAGGGCTACGGACATTATAGCCTAGTAGCATTGGAATGCATAAAATGCATCACAGAACAGATAATTCTATGGAATCGAATACACCTAACATTGTCATAGGTTGCTAGCCAAATACAGAAAGGGCAGAATAGTTTTTTTGAAGGGCAAAATATAGAAGGGTCAATTAAAGGTGCATTCACCATATGACAGGTACAAATAGAACCCGAACACTACTACTGCATAGTCATAAGAGCTTTCCTGAAGCTCGGAAAAAGGGTGGAGAGGGGGCTCGAGAAGGCTGGCAATGAGGGGTCAGAGGCGAGATGAGTAGGGTCTGCCGAGGGATTTAAGGGATTCAAGTTGGAGAAGAAAGTGCGAAGCAGAACAATGATAGGGGGCTTGCGAAGTAGGATTATGTCAAATGCCCAATAATAAATTAAAGAAACAGAACAACAAATTTACACAGTCGGACCAGATTAAGATGAATAGTCAAAAGCCCACAAATGATTAAACGAACAGAACAAAATGAATTGAAAATTTTATGATGGGGCATTTACACAAACAGGAAGAGCGCAGAGGATAAAAAGAAGCATATACCTTTAACGAGCTCGTGATATTTGGTGGCAGCCGAGACGGATGTTATTGTACTTCTACCATCGACGCCGTCTTGGAGCCAGCGCCACGTTGGAACGACACGCGTTGAAATTGATGGAGGGTTTAGCAGCGATTTTCATAGCCCAAGCTTTCAATTTCCACGGTATACAGAAGAGGGGGACGCCGGAGTCGCGTCAGGGGAGGAGGAGGACGACAATGTGATAACACCGCCGCAGATCCCACCGCTGCCGTCGTCTCTCACTCGGCACTGCACCTCCTGTATTCGATTCGGTAAGCTTTTTAATCCCACATCGGGTGCGTGGGAACGACTAATATTATTTTTATGAACTAATCCAACTTAGCTAACCGCTGAGCCCGGTAACTCGGGCTTGTAACCCAAGTGGGAGCCATAAGATTGGTTGGATGAGGAAGTCAGAGGATGACTCTTTACATACAGGGCACATACATACATACTCCCCTTACAGCTGGCGCCTCTACACATACACATACCAGGTAAGATTAAATGTGCACTTGAACAACTAAGCCCGCTACCCTCTGCCCTTGACATACATACGTACTTACATACAGTTGGCTTCCCCATACGTACACATACCAAGGTAAGATCAAATATGTGTTTGGACAATCAAGCCTGCTACCCTCCTACCCAAACAACCATCTTTTGAATTTATTTATCCTTTTTCATAAATCTTCCTTTTCAATTTGTTTATTCCTTATTCGTGAACTTTCTTTTTGAATTTGTTTATTCTTTCTTCGTAAAGATCTTAAAACTCATATGAATTTCAAAATTATACATTATATACTTATTTACGGAAAACATTGGGAAAATATAAAAGATTTTTCAATATTAGTCCTCCACATCTCTTGCATTTTGATATTAGGCCCCCAATCTTGATATATTGAATTAGTCCCCCCTAAATTCTTATCCTCCAAACATAATAAAAACTACCAAAGGCCTAACAAAACCTCACATGAGTTTTAACTTAAACTGTCATTTGACGAGTTAACTATTATGTGTCAAGAGGCACACTAAAATTACTTCTAATGCCCTCCTCTTTGAGTTCTATTACTCCTATTTTATAATTATCCATCTTGTTGAACAAAACATGTGGTAAAAAAAATCCTCCAAGTTAATGTCTATTTCATCTTTGTTTAAAACTCACCAAAGTCTTAAACTTCATTAGATGTTTAGTATTATGAAATATACATAACTCTAAATTAACATAAGTTATTATCTTTTTTTCTTATAATTTATTTCATTATTTTTATGAAAATTAAATAATTCAGAAATGATGCCCTTTTCTATAATTTGGATGTTTTCAAATTAAATTTGAATTTGATCTAATGCGACACTCAATAGTATGTTTTCTAGTTTCGATAAGGACAAAGTTGGTATTTTTATAAAAGGGAGGAGGATTAACCTCCTTAGCTCTTCTTTGTTTACCAAAAGCAATAAAGTAAATAGTTCATTTTAAGTATCCAATCCAATTGGAATTTAATTATACTTAATTTGTTATGTATTGTTAATCAAGTTAATCCTTCTCCTTAATCCTCGTCCCTTTACCCCTTGCTAAATGACACCTAGGTGTTTTGAAACTAGGTCCCTAAATTTTCACATTTTGAAACTAGTCCTTCTACTTAGTTGCTAGTTGAAAAGGTTTCGGGATGATGAACAGTTCAATGAAATATGTAACTTTGAATCTTGAAAGAGGACACTTTTCTATGATGGGGTTTTATTAAGGAAAAGAAAACTTTGGCTTTTTGAGTTTTCTGGGAAACAAATGGTGAAGATGATGAACAGTTCATTTTTTATCTTCTTTTACTTGGGGAGGTTATTTGTAGGCCTGTCCATCCGGGTCGGCCCGGGCCTGGCAAAAACCGGAGCCCGGACCTGGACCCGGGTACCCCGGGCCAGGTTCCGGGCCGGACTGGTTTATTTTTTTTAATTCTATTTAAATTTTAAATTATAAAAAAAATTAAAAAAACAATAATTTTATTAATCACTTAAAATGACATAAATTATAAATAAAAAATTATAAAAATAAATTCTTTATTAATAATTAATAAATAATTTACAAATTATAAGTATAAATTTATTTTGGAATTCATCGCATCACAATAGATAAGTGCATCCCAACTAGGTTGGCACCTACTCACCTATATCACTATCATTTGTAACTATTTCCAAAATAATTCTTTACAAATTTTAAGCTAAGATATAAAAATTACAATTTGATGAATATTATGGATTCCGAAGCTACCATCGAAACCTGCACTGTTAGTAAGTCACGAACCATAGTGGAAAGTATAGGATATGAAACTGATCCATATACTTTCTACCATTGCAAAATATCTAAAACATTTCCTTGACATTTAACTAAAGAAGCAGATAAATATTCATCTATTTTAAAAACCTCCAACGATGACGATCCAAGTCCAGATCCACCAGTTAGCTCAGCTACAATTGCATACCTATCAAAACTTACACTTTTACCTCGGGATGAGCTCGAAGAAACCGAAGCTGTAGACTGTTGTGTAGCTACACCATGTCTAGGAACATACTCATCATATAAGGTTTGAAAATAATTTCTAATAGCTAAATGATGAGTAGTAGCAGTAAGAGTGGTTCCATCATCTAAGTCTATAATCTGATTACCATACAAGCATTGTAACAAACTTCGAAGGCCAATATCCTTCAAGCATGGATCAATAAGAACCCCCAAACCAAACATATGAGGAATAGGCCTAAAGTACTTATTAAATTTGCTCTCCATTTGAAAAATCATAGGTCCAAAAGTATCATCCATACGATATTTCCCAAAATTTTTTTGAATATTTAAAATTTGTAAAGCAGCTAAAGTAATGGTTGGATAATAACAGCCAGATAATAATATTGTAGCATCATAAAAAACTTGTAACATTTTATTTAAATTATATATAATTGTTCATTCATCTTCAGTTATTCCATAAGTGTTACCAGAACTAGAACTAGAAGCATAATAATTTATAAAATCAGTTATAATGTCTATATATTCTATTGCTACACTTAATATTGCATAGGTGGAATTCCACCTATGGTCAATATCTTTTGGAATTAGTCTGGGCTTTACATTTTTTCTTTTACAAAACTGTTTCCATCTTTTAAGTCTTTGTTCAGAAGTATTATGCATATAAGCAATTGTTCTAACCTTTTCTATCATGAATTTAATTTCAGTAAATGCACTTTGAACAATTAAATTTAAAATATGACAGATACACCTAATATGAAAAAGATCACCATGACATGGCAATGACAGAGTTGATCTGATAAAATCAACAGCTACATTGTTATTACTTGCATTATCTAGTGAAAGAGAAAATATTCTTTCTGAAATTTCTAATTTCATAAGTTCTTCAATTATTAAATTTGCAACATTAATACCAGTATGTGACTCTTCTATTGTAATAAAAGAAACAACTCTTTTAAACATTTACCAATTTTTATCAATCCAGTGTGCGGTGATACATAAATATCCAGTTTGTGCTCTAGATGTCCAAATATCAGAAGTTAAAGAGAATTTACAGTTTAAATTTATAAAATAAGAAATTATTTTTCCTTGTTCCCCCTGATAATATTTTAAAATTTCACGTTGACAGGTTTAACGAGAAATTTTTTTAAATGCAGGATAAAAACCATCTCTAAACATATCTTCAAATTCATCATCTTCTACTAATTTAAAAGGAATATTTTTAAGAATGATAAACCTGATTACGTATTTCCTGGCTCTGGCAGCGTCATAGTTCCAACTACCGAGACTACCAGAAGAGGAGGATTGAGAAATCATAGATTGTCGGATATCACCTTGAGGAGTCTGGCTTTTGTTGTGTTTATCTAAGTGGCGTTTGAGGTGGTTGGTGTCACTCTTATGATGAGCTTGAAAAATCTTGACGCACAATGTACACTTAGCCTTCTGGGTGAGGATCCTACCGTGTTCATCCTTGCTGACGTCGATCTTCTCGTAAAAATTCTACACATCCGATCTTAGCCTTTTAGGAGCTCTTGGTACAGATTCGTCGCCATCGGATTCGGGATTAACTTCGGTAGGAGTAGACCCAGTAGGAGTAGGAGGACTATGTTCAAGATCGGCAGATAAGTTTTGCTCTTCATAATCAGATCCGGAAGCCATTTGATGAAAGGATTAGAAAGTATAAGAGTATAAGAGTATAAGAGAGAAGTAGATGAGATTTGGTGTGAAGAAAACAAATAAAAACCCCCCTCTATTTATAGAGCCAGTCACCTAAACAATGACCAAAATTACCTCACAAAATAGCCGTTTTTTACCGTCTTTTGACAAAACGGTCAAAAGATAGTTTATGGCTTATGCCGGGTCGGGCCGACCCGGCCCGGCCCGACTGTTTTGGCCACAACGGTCACGAGAGTGACCGTTTGTGCCGGGCCGAGTCGGGCTCCGGGCCCGGCTGCCTGGCCCGCGATTTTGTCCGGCTCCGGCACTATCCGGGCCGGGCGGGCCGGGCCGGGCACCGCTGTGAGCAGCCCGTACCCGGGCCCGGAACCCGGTCAGGCCCGGATTTCTGGGCCGAGGTTGGCTGGGCCGGGTCCGACCGCGGGCTTTTTGGACAGGCCTAGTTATTTGGTGTTATGATAAAAGCTTTTATTTGACCTTTTTCGTCTTATTTAACAAGGAATGGTAGAAGTAGTAACCTGGGTAGCTTTTGTTTTTTGTTTTTTTATTAATTTCCTTTTTATTTTTGGATAGAAGGCAATGAGTGATCAACTGACCGGTTGAATTATATTTGAGTGTAGGATCAATGGCTAGGTTTCCACTGATAAGTAAATAAAAACTAAGAATTTTCTTCTTTAGTTGATTATAATGAAATATCAACCTATATATTTATAGGATTAAAATTTCATCTTCTATAACAGCTTTTAAAATTAAAAATTAGAATTTAAATTCAAACAAACTTCTAATCGTACTACAAATACTCTATCCTTCTAGGCTAACATTCATACTAAATCCAAAAATTAAATTTTAAAATTTTAAAATATAACCAAATAAAATCTAAAATCCTAACAAAATTTAAAAATATATAATTTGAATTTCTAACAACTCTATCTATAAAGTCTTCGGATTTTGTCTTGCATCACTAGTCATGCATATTTTTAAAATAAACTCTCATATTTGGTATTAGTGCTACTAACATTTAGGTAAAAGTATCATATACTAGTTACATTTGTAGTTTTGCCCCCTATGACAAAAGTTTCTGGATCCATATATCCCTACCATTATCCTTTATTACAAAAAAAAGGATAGATATTGATATCAGACACGTGTGCAAGGGAACTCTTTCATGGCTAATGGTTTTATGACAAAGGGAACCCGCTCGTGGTAGAGTGAACTCGGGGCCTTAAGTTGAGCCTTTGCTGAGTTCTCTGCTTTATGTTTCTCTCAACCTCTTTCAAAAAGCAGTGGAAATATGGGTGATGCATGGGTGATGCTCACGTGTTCGTCATGTGGGAGGTGTTGATGATAATGTGGCGTTTATACATATTTTTATGGTATAACAGGTTCGAGTAACTAATAGCTAATTTCAAGGAGTGTATCCACAATTGACCCTTGTTTACGTGATCCCTTTTAGTTCCTCTTATCCTTCAAGTATTTTCGCATTCAAGCTTGGAGTACTATGGTGCATAAATTTGCAGGAAGGAGATATTTACTCGAACTTTTGAGATTCAAGCTCACTTATTAGTTGCAGAAGCCTTTAGGGTTCTTTTGGCTTGGGCATAGCATTATATTTAGCAAAACTTTGCAAATGTTTAAGCTTTATTTCTATTTGTTTATACATGAGTCTCATTCTCTGTCAAAACTTGGGTTCCTGATTGCATGTGGAATGGTTCTTTTGAGACCTTGATGCCTTCTCCACTGTGGCATGAAATGTGAAGGTGATGAGTCAGAAATGCACAACATTCTCAATGCACCATATTTGCCACAGGAATGGTCAGAAATGTATTTTCAAAGATGCAGAGATAAAAACTTTTGAGAAAACTTAGTTTTTCTGTTATAAGCATATCCACGTAATGTACCATATGAGGTATAATATAACATACTCTACTTTAGTTTTTTTCTGTTATAAGCATATCCACGTAATGTACCATATGAGGTATAATATAACATACTCTACTTTAGTTACCAAGATAACAAAACATAATGAATTTGATCCATTAAGAAAAAGAAAGTTATATTACAAAGGTGTGAAACAGAATAAGATGCACCCTTGACAGACAGCTTACGTTATTTGATTGTACATGTTGATGATGTCACAGAAAAAGCTACACAGAGTCATTTGAAGTTAAACAGGATCAGGTCTTCTTCGTACAAGCAATTCTGACTTGAGAATTCTTGATTGTTATCACCAAAAGCATTGTTCTTGAATGTTGATCTGGTTCCTCAACTTGCATCCTCTTCTTGAGCCTATCCACTGCAGGCCTTTTCTTGTACACCAACAGGAACAAGAAAATAGAAAAAACTGAATGTTATTCTCTATATCATATTTTATCATTTTGCTTGTAATTGGACTCTTCCTCATACATAAGGAAAATATTGGATGCTCGCACCCTGATTGGATGAGCTTCAACTACAAGAAAATGAAAAGTTAGAAATTTTCTAACAGATTCAGAAACCTGAATACATTCATGACATCTCATAGCCAAAAGCGAAATTCAGATAGGAAAATAGTTAATGCCTATCAATAAATAAGCATGATAATAAAAGTCTATTACATGAAATAATAGAGGAACTTGTAACATAAGCATCCATAAAGGGTAAAAATATTTAAGAGGTACTAACTAATTTCACTGATTCCAAGAACAGTTTAGAACTCAACAAGATGAGAGATAAATAGAACTTTCTTTTACCATTTATCACTAGCATTTACTAGATTCACTACTGGATTTACACCTTTTAGCGATGGACAATTCTGTCACTAAAGGTCTAAATTCCGTCCCTATAAGTGAGGGTCCATAATTGTATCTTTAGCGACGGAAATCTCGTCGCTAATTTTCAGCGACGGGATATTAGCGACGGTTTTTTCGTCGCCATATTTTTTTAAAAGAAATAAAAAAGTATTAACAACGAAAAATTCTGTCGCTAAAAGTGATATTAGGGATGGAATATCCGTCACTAAAAGTTGTATTTATTATTTTAATTTTTTTTTCGTGTCCGTTTTTCGTTGCTAAATATATATTCACCGACGAAAATCTGTCGCAAAAAATGATATTAGGGACGAAATATCCGTCGCAAAAAGTTGTATTTATTATTTTAATTTTTTCTGTGTCCGTTTTTCGTTGCTAAATATGTATTTAGCGACGAAAAATCAGTCGCTAAAAATAACCACTATTTTTTAAAAAATATTTTAAAATTTGAAAAAATCCTGTACAATATCGATAATAAATTTAAAAACCCTGTTCAATCAACAATATAATATTCAATCCCATATATTTCAAAAAAACAAATAAAATTTTCTCAACAGGTACATAATAAATATTGTTTATACAACACAAGAAATTGTTTTCAAAGTTAAATTAATTACAAGCAATCCTCCTGATCATCATCATCATCCTCAACACCAGCTGCACTGTGACTACCCCCGGCTGCACCTTATGTAGAAGTCCCGGCCTGTAAATATAAATCAAACGTTAATAAGAGTGTGTAACCGTTAATAAGAGTGTGCAAATATAAATATAATTTCCCCAACACCATAACACAACAACACAACACAACACAACACCAAAATACCACAACACAACACCACAACGCAACACAACACAACAACAACAACAACAACAACAATAATAACAACACCACAAATCCCCCAACCCCACCCACCAACCAACCACACTCCCCCCCAACCACCACCACAACCAAATCGTGTGGATCGCAACCATAGAACAGACCAACAAAGAACATATTATATATAAGAACAAAGCTAGCTTTTTTACCATCTAGGGTGCCAAGTCTATACAATCTGCAACCAGCCACCATCTGTACTTGTGAAACAAATATAGAGATCCTAAATATTATAAGTGTATTTTTTGGGCTTTGCGTTAGGGTTAGAGTTAGGGTTTGTGTGTAACAGTTTGTATCAGTGTGCATCGGTGTGTATGATATCATTTAGTCATGAAAAAAATTCATAACTAAGTAAGAATTATATATTTAATTCATTTAATTAAAAAAAGTAAAGTATATATATTACCTGATCCGACATAAACCGTCTCATATATGCCTCCTAAGCCTCCTGAGGCAGAGTCGATATGAACTGTGTGAACTCCAATTCTCTCTGCTCCCGGCGCCTCCGTTCTTCCTCCGCAATCCGCTGATATGTTTTTTGTTGCGACTGCCAATCTTCAATCGCTTTCAACCGCTGCTCCATCGAGTCTTGATATGAACTGCTTCCTGGTGTTCTGGGTGGTGCTGCAGACTCGCAGGTGCTACTAGACTCGTGCGGTCTCTGCTCGGATCCTCTCCACTGATATCTGTTCTTCCTACTTGGTCCAATGACCGTCTTGATGATGGAGTCATCCTCTCTACTTAGCCGGGCAAGAGTGTTAGAACCGACCTGAGACTGAGACATTTGCTCCTGTACCTTGGCATGTAATTTCTCCTGCGATATATCAAAACAACCCGGGCAAGTCGACTTACATGTAATTTCTCCTGCGATATATCAAAACAACCCGGGCAAGTCGACTTACTAATGATGCATTGTTATGGAATATATCATTAACCTATAATATATAAATTATACTCAACTTGACAACTTAAAAGCTAATATATTATATACCTCAAGCTCCAATTGATGATAATGTTGGTTGAAGGACCTGGAGCCCCCGTGATGCTCGTAACTGTGGGGCATGTTGCGGTTCCTCCTTACTATTTTAGCTTGAGCCTGCAAAACAATGTCAAATCAAAACAATATAGAAATTCAAACAATAAATAAAAATATGTACTTCAATAATACCTGAATTACAGTCGTGTCCCAGTAATCACAAAGTACAAAAAAATCTACTCTATCTACGCGCTCGTCAAGATGCCAGAAGCGCTGCCAATCTTCTGTTATTTGAACAAAATATTTTTTCTTCACCTGAAGCCGCCATCTCTTGAACGATAGATTGATTTGCGCGAAGCAGTAAGTCCAGGCACAAATATTATCGTCAAGAAAGAAAAATCGCTTCAGCATATAAAGAAAAAAGAGATACAAATCAGTATATTAAACATAATAATAAACTAATAACTAATAATGATAAAAATTAAAATAAATGACTCACACATATATATCTCCAACAAGCCACCAGCGCATTAATCCGCTGTGACTTCCACGTCAAAAAAATATTGAAGAAATCATGTCTCCTGGCTAAAGAGGCGAGGAAATTGTTGAAAGCATTGGCAAAGGCCCCGACAGACACTCCGTTTTCCCATCGGATCACGGCCCTCCGATGAATATCAGGGATGAAGCTCTGTTCCCTAGTAGCACTGCGACCGCGCCTAGGAGGTCGCCCGGTACCTGCGAAACAATGAATCGGATGAAAAAAATTAATCAATCTATATTTGCTATTAAAATTTAAAATAATAACCGATAAACTATAAAAATCTATTCATACCTTTCAGTTCGAGGCATCTACACCTTGCTTGTTCGTACCTATGCTGCGCGATAGGGCGCAAAGCATGATAAGAATCCCAATCCTCCTTCACCTTGGCCGGACCATGGACTCGCTGATCCGTAATAGAATCTGGCGGTAGCGCCGCAGCTTCTACAGCTGTGCTATACTGCACAAATTTCCGCTCTTCTAATACATCTGCATGCGGCAGCGACGGTATCTCAGCATGCTGTGTAGGATCAGCCTGTGTCTCCACGTCATGTGGAGCATCTCCACATCCTGTATCATGTGGCTGTGAGTCATGTGTAGCATATCCGCGTCCTGTGTAGTAAATGTTTAAAAAAATGTTAGGCTCACATTAATAGTTTATAGAAATGTACAGATGTAACAAATAAATAAAAATACTTGACGTAGAGATATGTGCGTCACCTCCAAAATGTCTACCTAAAAGTCTCTCAAGCGCTTTCTTACGTAATCCTTTTGTCATCTATACTTTGAAAACATAATGAATATCCAACAAAAGCATATAATACAAATAATTAATAAAATAGCACATGGTAACAGAATCGTGTGTACATGATGTCCAGTCAAACAGATAATATAAAGGCAATACTATAATACATGACACGCCGTGATACATGATAACCTGTCAAACAGATAATATAAAGGTAATAATATAATACATGACACACTGTGATACATGATAACCAGTCAAACAGATAATATAAAGGCAATAATATAATACAATGAATGTTCTTTTTAATTCATAACCTAGTATTCCATTATTATGATGATGTTGAGGCTCTACTCTGCGATCATGTGCGGATAGCCTACGACCGTATGCGTGCCAACGAAAGGACTGTTCTTATAGTTTTATCGACTCTGCTGCGGACTGGTTTTTTACCTTTACGCCTTGACTCACATATAATCGCAGGTACATCAGGGCGCGCTAATGCAATTTCATCTGCCATATTATTATTTTGTGTCAAGGAAAACTTAGCAACTGTTTCTTCGGCCAAGATAACCTCCTCATCGTGATATTCGTCAAACACGACTTCATGAATGTAGGCTCTAGGCGGATTTTTAAGGATAACCCATTCGTCATTTTTCATTATACCTTTGGCATAAAAGCACTGTTTGGCTTGAGCAGCTAACATGTAATTTTCAGTCTGGTATATTTCCTTGTTAAGATTAACGAGTGTGTAACCGTAGTCATCATTCATCGTTTTCTGCTCACACCAACGAACCTTAAACATCACATGACTGACTTCCTTATTAATCCCATAGAAAATCTCAACGATGTGTTCTACCTGACCGTAGCAGTAGATTTCCCCTTGTATCGGATTTAGATCTTTTGAACTAGCGTATGACAGTTGTGAGAAGGAGCAGAACACACCGCTGTTTTGCGTTTGTCGTCTCTCTTTGAGACCGACGGTGTTAAACCTAAAGTCGTTGACACAGTAGCCTCCATAATGCTTAACCACATTAGAAGGACCTCTAGCATATAAACAAACTTTCTCAGACAGGTTAACTCTATTCGTAATCCGTTTGTCAATCTTTAAGAAAAGAAGCAAATATGTTACATATCTGATGGCAGACACATATATTTGATATATAAATCAGAAATATAAAAAGATCTTACTTCACCCTTCAGCCATGTAGGGAATTGTCTAGAGTGTGTGTTCATAACTCTTTTCTTTTTTGCTCTGCATTTAAGAGTAGTCTGGACATATCGGATGTGAAGCCTAGACAAGAAGCATTAATAACAGTTAAATAGAGATAATTATTGTGAGGTGATATAATCTAATTCAGTTAAATACTTACGCCTCGTATATGTTAAATGTAGTATCATCGCTCAGGATATATATGTGGGCTTGATCTAGCTCCATTCTGGGGAATCTAGTGTCCTCCCTACGATCATTGTAGAATATACCGTCAATTATTCGTTAGGGACGGTTTAGCCGTGTCTCCACACCCCGCAAGTAACGAGAGATGAAATTCAAACTCTCGTTACTTATGTAGTTCTTTGTGATCGACCCTTCAGGACGTGCACGGTTATGCATTAGTTGTTTCATGAAACCCAAATACCTACAAGCATATAGTTTCAAGATTTGTGACAAAATGGAACTGAGAAACGTAATTTGACAAATATTAAATGAATATTATAATAATAAATATCTCTTCACGGGGTACATCCAGCGATATTGAACTGGTCCTGCGATGTGAGCTTCGTATGCTAAATGTATTGTGAGATGCACCATGATCGTGAAGAATGAGGGTGGAAATAGTATTTTTATTTTCCACAGTGTATTGGCAACACGTCCATCTAATTCTTCAAACTCTCTGATATCAATCACCTTAGAGCATAGTTGCTTGAAGAAACCGTAGAATTCTATTACCACCATCGCAAGTTTCTTCTCAGCATGTCACAACGCAACCGGGAGAAGTTGATGTAATAGAATATGATGGTCATGTGTCTTGAGTTCCAAAATCTTTTTGTCCTTAATATGCACATTTGCTGAAATGTTTGAAGCATAACCATCCAGTGTCTTCACGGACTTTAGAAATAAACACATATTGTGGACCTCATCCTTCGACAGTGTGACACGGGAGGCTGGGAGTTCAAACTTTTCTTCACCCTTATCTATAGCTTACAGTTCCGGACGGATGTTCAATTCTGCTAGGTCTCGTTGTGCTCTTAAGTCATCTTTCGATTTTTTTCCCGCCCTGCAACAAAGTGTTCAAGAGATTCTCGCATATGTTCTTCTCGATGTGCATGACATCCAAGTTGTGACGTATTTTTAAACTTCTTAAATATGACAGGTGATAAAATATGCTGAATATTGACCATCCATGCGGAAGTTAGTGCCCTTTGAGACACACCCATGCGACTGGACATTGCAAGGCTTATTTCCTTTCGATTTGCCCTTGAGAAATAGCTTACCATTTCCCTTTCCCTTCCATTTTTGCTTCAATATTTTTCTCCTAACCCCAAATGAGTTTTCTTTGTTGAATCTTTTCTTTCCAAATATTTTTCTAGGTAAAGGATGTAGAAGCTCAAATATTTCTTCTCCGGTCAGCCTTGGTGGTGCCGGTCTACTTTCTGGATTGCCATCGAACTTTCCTACTAACTTTCTGAACTTGTACCCTGCAGGCAACCATCTTCTGTGTTGCTAATAACAAAACTTACGGCTATACTTCAGGAACTTTCCCTCATAGTCCGACATACAAACCGGACAAGCAATCTGACCCTTCGTCGACCATCCAGACAGGCTAACGTATGCCGAGAAGTCATTAATTGTCCACATAACCATTGTCTGCATACAGAAAGACTCCTTACCATAAGCATCATAAGTGCTGACACCTTCTTCCCAGAGAAGCTTCAGGTCGTCAATTAATGGTTGGAGGAAAACGTCGATGTCATTTCCAGGAGAATATCTTCTAGGGATCAAAAGTGACAGTATCATGTACGGTTGCTTCATGCACATTGACGGCGACATGTTGTACGGTGTTAGCAACACTAGCCAGGTAGACCAAGCAGAGCTCGTTAATCCAAATGGATTAAATCCGTCGCTAGCAAGCCTCGGCCAAATATTCGGAGACTCCTTACCAAATTTGGGGTATATACGATCGATGTGCTTCCATGCTTCACCGTCAGCAGGATGTCTCAGTTTCTCATCCTCTTTGCGGCCGATCGAGTGCCATCGCATATTCTCAGCCAGCTCGGCAGACATATAAAACCTCTGCAACCTAGGAATAATTGGAAAATATCGGAGAACCTTCGCAGGGATTCTGCTCTGCTTATTGGATGCACCGCCTTCGGATGTGCTTGTAGCTTCTCCTTTCCAGAGTGATACATGACACGTCGGACATTCCTCCAGAGCTTCATTATCCTTATTGTACAGGATGCAGTCGTTAGGACAAGCGTCTATCTTCTTGTAATCAAGCCTCAGCGCATCAACAATCTTGTGGGCTTCGTAATAGGTTGCGGGCTTTTCTCGCCGCCTGGAATGACTTTCCTCAACAATCTAATAACATCTCGAAATGTGTAACAACTATCCCACTGAGTGTTTGGATATAAAGAAACTTCAGCATAAAAGAAAGCCTTGTGAACTCCTTACACCCCTCGTATAACTGTGACTCGTTTTCTTCAACAAGTCTCATCAATCGATCTACATCTTGAAACATATCAGTAGTGTTGACATCACTCACCGATGGCGCTGCAAGAATATCTTCTAACATATCAGTCGTGTCAACTGTCGGATTGCCGACTTCAGTGAACTCTCCCTCTGATTGCATCACCGGGACGCCTTCACCGTGATGACTCCAAAATACATAAGAGCTATCAAATCCATTGATTGACAAATGGAAACTCACGTCACTCCTAGCGAGCATTTTTCCTTTCCTGCAATTCTTATAAGGACAGAAAATCGCCCCGCTCGGCGACCGTAGAGGGTTTGTGTCAGAGTAGGCTAAGAAAGCTTCTATCCCATCCTTGTATCGGGTGTCTAGATGTCTTCGATCACGTGGTATGCTCATGAACGATTTGTTAGGAACTGTCCGCATCTAGAATTTAAAAATTAATGGAAGTGAGCATATCCCTACATATATCATTTTAATTTAGGGATGTAAACGTGTGTTCACAGGAAAGCATGTGTGACCGGCTGTCAGAGGAATGCTTCTATCCCATTAGGTATGTAAATGTGGATGTATATGTATTTATGTGTGTTCAAGTGTACTTTCAATTCGTCAAAATTTTGACAGTACCTACCCGCTGTTCTCCGAGTACACTATAGTGGGAAGGATATACTCCTGCATATCCCTCCGAAATTTGTACACGGAGAACAACGAGTAAGCACCGCCGAAACTCTGATGAAAAGAAAGTACACAAGAACACAAGTAAATACATATACATGCCACGTTTGCATACCTAACCCGTCCACACTGGACAGATCCAATAAATATTTATATATAAGCCCCCTTGTCACATACGCGTACAAAAAGGTTGTCAGACCGAACAAAATGGTCTCTTATCCGCCAACGATCCTATACATGTATGTGACAAGTAAATAAAGAGATTATATATAGTATTTATTGGACGGGGAATTCTACGGCTCGAAAATATGAGTGCACAGCGTGTGCAGTTTCTATGTAATTAGCGATATAATAGTTACGCTAACCCCTCACCCTCACACTCACCCTCATTGTAACCCTAACCCTCACCTAGCCCTAACTCCCTCCCTCGCCATAACCTGCGCCCTCGCCCTAACCCTCACCAAACCCTAATCCCCGCCCTCTCCATAACATTTGCCCACGCCTTAACCCTAACCCTAAAACTCACATAACCCTAACCGTCGCCATAACCTTTGTCCTCGCCATCGTCCTCGCCCTTGCCCTCATCCTCACCCTCGCTCTAACCCTAAT